TCTGCCTTCCCTGGTCTCTTCTGTCGGGGAGCGGGTTTCGGCGGTGCATCCGGACGGGGTAACTCCTGCACGCATGCCGGTCGACCCGCCTCGCTGCCCCTCCGGGGGGACGTCTGGGGTTCGCATGACCCCGTTGGCTCACTTCCTGGAAGCCTGGCTAGCGCTTCCCGGGTATCCCGCTGGGTCATCAGAACGATCAGATTCGGCTACGTGATCCAGTTTGGATCTACTCTTCCCCGCTTCAGGGGAGTTCGCTCCACGATGGTTGGTGGCAATGCCCCAGTCTTGAGAGCGGAGATTGCGACCCTGCTGGCGAAGGGTGCAATCGAGACGGTCCCTCCAGCCGAGGTGAGGTCCGGGCTTTAGAGCCCCTACTTCATTGTCCCCAAAAAAGACCGGTGGGTTACGACCGATCCTGGACCTGCGCATTTTGAACCGTTCTCTCCATCGACTACCGTTCAAAATGCTCACGGCCAAACGCATTTTCGAATGTGTTCGGTATCAGGATTGGTTTGCAGCGATCGACCTGAAGGACGCGTACTTCCATGTCTCCATTCTCCCTCGACACAGACCGTTTCTTCGGTTTGCCTTCGAGGGCCAGGCATACCAGTACGCCGTTCTCCCATTCGGGTTAGCTCTGTCCCCTCGCGTCTTCACGAAGATCGTCGAGGCAGCCCTTGTTCCCCTTTGCGAACACAGGGTTCGCATCCTGAACTATCTCGACGACTGTCTGATACTGGCACACTCTCGAGCTCAGGTTTGCGAACACAGAGACCTGGTGCTACGGCACCTAGCCCGTCTGGGCCTTCGGGTCAACCGGGAAAAGAGCAAACTTTGCCCCGTGCAGAGGATCTCTTTTCTCGGCATGGAGATAGACTCGGTCGCCATGTCCACGCAGCTCACGAACGAGCGCGCGCACTCACTGCTGGCTTGTCTTCGACAGTTCGAGGGCAAGAGTGCGGTTCCACTGAAACTATTTCAGGGGCTCCTGGGGCATATGGCATCCGCGGTACGCCGCTCGGTTTGTTCATATGAGACCGCTTCAGCTGTGGCTTCGCGATCGAGTCCCGAGGTGGGCATGGCATCGCGGCTCGCTCCGAGTTCCAGTGACTCCGACGTGCCGCCGAACCTTCTTCCCGTGGTCGAACCTCAGCTTTTTACGGACAGGTGTCCCTATTCAGCGAGTTTCCAGGCATCTCGTTGTCTCCACGGATGCGTCTACCACGGGTTGGGGTGCCATGTGCAATGGGCATGAAGCCGCCGGTTCCTGGACAGGAGCCCAGCGCCTCATGCACATCAATTGCCTCGAGCTGTTGGCAGTACGGCTCGCCCTGCACCGCTTCCGAGCGTGCTCAAGGGCCAGCATGTGCTTGTCCGCTCAGACACTACCTGCGGTGGCGGCAACCATCACTTCCGCAAGAGCGTCGTCCACGAGACACCTTTAAGCGTTGAAGTGGAACCTCTTCGTCAATTGGTGTTCTTCTCGCTGAGAAGACCCCCGGAGATGTTCGATCGGAGTCGTGCTTCCTTCCTGCAAGAGGGGTTGGAGCGTAGGCTGTCGCCCTCCACCCTTTGGATTTATGTCGCGGCCATTGCCGCGTCTCATGATGCAGTGAAAGGTAAGTCTATGGGAAGCATGACCTGGTCATCAGGTTCCTGAGGGGAGCGAGGGGGCTAAATCCGCCTCCCTCCCCTCCTGCCCTCTGGGGGCCTCCCCTGGAGCCTTTGCAGTCGGTGAGTTTTTGCCCTGTCCTATGTAGACAGCACTCCTGATTGCATTGGTCTCCATCAGGAGAGTAAGGGACCTGCACGCACTCTCTGTTGACGAAGTGTGCCTGGAGTTCGGGCCGGCTTACTCTCACGTATTCCTGAGACCCCGGCCTGGATATATGCCCAAGGTTCCTACCACTCCCCTCCGGGACCTGGTGGTGAACCTGCAAGCGCTGCCCCTGGAGGAGGCAGACCCAGCCTTGGCACTGCTCTGTCCGGTACGTGCTCTCCGCACCTATGTCGACAGAACGCAGTGTTTCAGGACCTCAGACCAGCTCTTTGTCTGTCATGGGGGGAGCCAGAAGGGAAGGGCTCTCTCAAAGCAACGGCTGTCCCACTGAAAGAGTGGACGCCATCGCTTTGTCTTACCAGCAGCTAGGCCGGCCGTGCCCCCTTGGTGTGTCGGTCCATTCCACTCGGAGTGTGGCCTCCTCTTGGGCTCTAGCGCATGGCGCCTCGCTAACAGACATCTGCAGAGCTGCAGGCTGGGCGACACCCAACACCTTCGCCAGATTCTATAATCTGCGAATTGAGCCGGTATCCTCTCACGTACTCGTTCGGCCAGTTCTGGATCCGCTCAGGTGTCTCGCTTGCTCGCCACTCCACTCCCCGGACTGGATAAGTGCGATATCTCCTCAGTTCTTCCATTGAAGTCTTGAGTCCTCCAGCACCGACGATGCGGGCACCACTGCTGTTGCTCTGGATGCTGGCTAGGTGCCTCCATGCGTACGGTTCCCCTTGGTAACCGTCTCATGTGTATCATCCACTGTAAGCCTCTCTGAGCATGTGTCTTCCTTGGCAAGCCATCTGCCACCCCTGGAGTTGAATTTTAGTAGCCACCTGCGGTTGGTGCTCCAGTGTTTCCATATGCGTTCCTATGTGGCCATATGTGTACTCGTAAGTCCTCCCTTCGGTTGGCAGCTGGTAGCATGTCCCTCCCGGGATATGTTTCCCAGTGTACCTTGGTAATCCTGTGTCAAAGTGGGATCCCCCAAAAAAAAAAAAAAAAAAAATGGGTAAGGCAGGGGTCCAGACTTTCGCAGGGCACTGGAAGACAGCTTGAAGATGGCGTGATGGCACAGACCCCCAATCTCCGTCACTTCTGACGTAACTCGAAGTGACTACGAAAGGGAACGTCTCGGTTACGTATGTAACCCTCGTTCCCTGAGTAGGGAACGGAGACGTTACGTCTCCCTGCCACTTCTGCTGTATCGCTGGGTAGACGCCGAGTTCAGTCTTGGCTCCTCAGCGAAGACATACTGCGGTTGCGTTCACTTCCTCCTTTTATACTCACGGAGTAGGGCGGAGTACGCTATGCAAAATTCCGCAGCCCCAAGGCATTGCATGCCATTGGCTCGTTTTTAAATACTCGAAGAGGATTGGCTTTCTATGCGAAACCCCCAATCTCCCAATCTCCGTCACTTCTGACGTAACATCTCCGTTCCCTACTCAGGGAACGAGGGTTACATATGTAACCGAGACGTTATGATAACTTGATGTCTTTATTAATGATAACATTAGGCAAAGTTTTATAAAGAAGCCCCTGATCACTACTTTCTTTCCACAGTCTGAAAACATACCTGCCAACTTTCGAGTTTTGCTTGGCGTGAGATTTGTCGACGGGGGGGGGGGGGGGTTGTGGGTGTCGTTCGTTCGCTATAGATCACGGGAGATTTGTAACTAATTTGCGGTATAACTAGTGGATCACGAGTTGCCCAACAGATAGATCAATAGATAAACTCATCTTTCAGGCATTTGACCATAGCTGTCAACATCAAAGGGAGATTTCCCAGGAACCATCCCCAAAATAAGGGGGGTTTTTTTCTCACGATTCTTACTCACAAACTTCAAATAAATCACTAATCAAAAAATCTAAAGAGTTTAGAACTAGCCCACATATGTGTGAGAAAGAGCACTGTGTCATTAAAAAAAATACCATAGAGAATGTTTAAATACTAAGATCAGCTTACGAGGGAAACGGGGAGGCTGCTTCTGCTGGAGATGATTGGGAGAGGTCTCTGCACCTTGAGGTCTCTGCGCGCGCTGACATGGAGTAAAGCCTTGTTTATACTCGACGCGTCTGCACAAGCGCGGTAAAAATGACGCGTTGGGTGCGCAAGACCGGCAAGACCTCACTTCGAGCTGTGTGCAAAGCTATTTTGTTACAGCGCGCGCGGAACCGCATCCGAGGACGTTCGACTTCAAGCCGAATCTGTCCGAGCTTGTACGTCTCACACAATCAGAGTGTAAAAATACGAGATATTTTATGGGAAATACTAACATGGGAAGACAGTAAAAGAGCTAAAATACGTGAGAAACCCGGAAAAACGGGAGGGTTGACACTTCAGCGTGAGAAATCGGGGGTGTGGCGTGTGAGCGTGTGAAACCAATCAAATGCGGGTGTCTCACGGCCAATGCGTGAGAGTTGGCAGCTATGTGAAAACATCTATAAATCAATGTAGATTTCAGTCTGAGGTCTTCTCAGAGAGGAGAGCTTCTGTAGACATTTATCCATTTTGAACATAATCAACTAATAAGGGTAAATTGACGTACTCTGGTAGACCGGAGGGAGCATGAGCATTTTATACATAGTCAGAGTTGGGTTTCCACAGAGTTGTGCCTCCACTAGAACTTTAATGGAATAAAATCATCATGTTCTAATATCAAAGACATGCAACGTGTAACTTGGATGAAGTTCTTCTGCATCAGCTGGTCAAACAGGGACAAACTCAATTGTGTTTGCAAAAAATGAAGCTGTATTGTATTTTTGTTTGTTTCACGTGATTTTATATATATATATATATATATATATATATATATATGTCAACTCAAGTGGACATCTGCAAATCTGCTATATAGTTTATTTGTTTTTTGCCCCAAGCACAATAAAAACACATAGGGCTAAATCCTGACTGAGGTTGTCCTAGTTCATGCATGAAAGGATTAAAGGGATATTGAAAAGTCTGTCATTATGTTGTTTCTGACCTGTATGACTTTCTTCTGCTAAACAAAAATATTTAAATTAATGTTCCAGCTTTTTTGAATGAAATTCAATGGGTTCCAAATCCAAAACAACATTGGACCATACTGACTTTTCTTGTCTAGACATTTTTTTAAACATCTCCTTTTGTGAAAGAAAGTCAACAGGTTTGGAATGACATGAGGGTGAGTAAATAATGGCAGAATTTGTATTTTTTATTATTTATTTATTTATGTATTTATTTATTTATTTTAGAAATTATACCTTTAAGAAAAAGTGGGCTTAGCTGGCTACAACTTGCGCTCACCTTGAAAAGCAGCAAATGATAAATGACTCTAAATGATACATGATCATTCTTTTCAAAATATGTATTCTCTGGCATATAAAATGGCATCAGATCACATTTTCATCATCCTTCCTCAAGGTCTTCAGGTGTTGTTGTACTTATTTCATGAGTTCACACTTATAATTTAACTCAGATAGAATAAATGGTATGCATATTAGGCGCCACGTGCTGTCCGAGGAGAGGGCTTCGGGCTCAGTATTTGCCTGAACCCAGAGAACTCCCCCCGTACTCGGATGGAACAGCTGAGAGTGAGGTGTCGGGGTGGTGGAGTGATGCTGAAAAACTGTCGGAGAATGTGAGTCGACTGAGTGTCTTTATATATGCTTCCTCTCATGCTAATGGGATAGTCATGAAGATTGTTGATGACAAGTTACTTGGATTAATTATTTGAACGTGGTCCTCCCGAACTTTGTTTAGTGAAACATCACATATAGTAAATTGTAGTAGTATATAATAGTTTGCACTTATTATATAAAGCCCTTTATGTTATAGTCACATTAAAATGAACCCCAGCACATAAGGAAATTACAATCAAATAAAGATTCCCACAAAATTCAATGTCAGTTATACTGTGTGGCTATTATGTCTAAAACAGACCATTTTCATCTATTTAATGATTACTCACTAATAGTGCAGTTAATTCTATGCACCAGTGACTTGGCTTTAAAGGAAACAATTTTCAGTAATGTCCGATTGTCATTTTTGTGGCAGATGTATTCTCACAACTCACAGCATACATCCCATGCATTTCCCATCAAAGCTCATCATCAATCAACTGTCATGTTTAAAAAGTGATTTAAATAGAGGAGACCTGTTGACCATAGCATCAGATATCATTGTGTCGCAGTCTTCTCTCTTTGCTATCTATACGGAAGCTGGGCCGATCATCCACCCGTGGATCCTCTGTGCAGCATACATACTGTTTCCAGATCTTAATAAAGGCATTCCGGAATTTTGTAATGCGGAATGCGTAAACAATGGGATTGACAGCGGAGTTACCATGACTGAGCAAGATAGCCACATAGAGAAGGCACATGGAATTGTCACAACTAGGACAGAAGAGAGTGATGCAATTCAGAATATGCAATGGTAACCAGCTAACAGCGAACAAGAAGAGCACCAGTGCAAGAGATTTTGCCAGCTTGAGTTCTTTCCCGTAATATCGAGTGGGGTTGGTCTGGTTGGCAGTGACCTTCTTGTTTAGCTGCTTGTGGATTATGTAGAAGATCTCAGTGTAGATAAGCAACATGAGGACGAGAGGTGGCAGCACCCAGCCGAAGAAGTTGAAATAGACCATGTACTCCATACTGATGACATTCTCAAACTCACAGGTTATGAGAAGGTCAACTCCTACAGTGCCGTTGATCTGTTGTAGCTTCTCCAGATTGTTCCATCCCAACATGGGCGTCAGGCCGACTACGATGGCCACCATCCAGCACACCACCACAGCAGTGCCTGCACGCTTTGGTGTCACCACATTTTTATAGCTGTGAAAAAAAAAAAAAAGTTTAAAACAAACAAACAGCCTTGGTTCCGGAATTGTTTTTCCCAAAGAGATTTTTAAAGAAGTCCTGAGGGTTGTAAGCCATTAACCAAACTAACCAGTAACAACGTTATTGAGTGACAACATTACAAACCTTAATTTGAAGCAAAAAAAGTATTTGAAAATCTGAAAAAAGACAAAGGCCAGGGGTTTTTGGCCCACCATATACTTTGGTCGAAAGCGGCCAACAAGGGCTTGAGGAGTGGTCATGAACAAAGGCAGAGTTTATCTGAGTCAGGAGAGGGTCAACACCACTGCTAAAATACTACTAAAGGCTACTTATGCTTAGCCTGGCTGCGCCCTCCTACGCACTTCCACTCAATTTCATTTTACTTCTGTACTACGTCTGGGATCGCTCCATATCCTTAGGTTTCCAGAAACCAATTTTTTGTAGGACGAATCAGCGAATAGAGGGAGTGGCTGAGAAAGATGACGTTGATGTAAGCGCGTCAGTTTCAGTTCAGTAATGGCAGCGGAGAAAGACGTGAGAAAAGCTATTCGGTCCGTTGTTGGAAAAGAAACTGCCGAATATATAGAATTTAAAGCCGGATTGTTATCGTCTAACCTCTTGTTGCACAACTGAGGACCAAGTGAAGGAGGCAGAAAGTTTGAAAGTTTGTGCTGGGCAGTTCATGCACGATGACCGTGACATTTTGGACGGACGGTTTAGCCTGGTGTTCGCGGTGTTCGGAAGCCCCGAGTCCTGGCTGCTAAACTATTGTTGAAGATCCGCTCAGGGTCATGTCAGTCGCTCATATTCCCAACTGTAAATGTACTGATTCTTGTGATGAATAGAACATTTTGAGCCCTTGTGCACTCGTGCAGGAGGTTGGTGTGTCAGTTTTACATGTTGTAAATCATACAAATTGGTTGTGATTTAAAAAAAAATAATTGTCATAAATAAAAATGTGAAAAACCATACTTTGAAGATATTTGATTTTCAGTTTTAGATGGCAATGGTTGATTTGTTTTACTAAAAAAAAATAAATGCCACATAAAAATGTACAAACACATACTTTGAAGACCATAATTAAGGTAATTAAGAAACAATAAGACGTAATATGAAAAATTGTTGTTTATTACACATCTGCAGATAGAGACAGACTGATCATTCACTGTAGCTGCTACAGCATTTGCGGCAGATCAGAAACGACCACAGCAGCGTATTTGTAATGATTAGACACAGCTTCCACCGTTGAATGAATATATCACTGTCCTTCGTGTCAAATATACATTTCGAATTAATAATTGTTCAGATTAACAAAACCTGCGGCGCTCGTTGACTGAAATCCTATTGTAAACATAATCCTCTGATCATTTCGGCGCGTGACATACGTCACTCACGACACCCCTTTAGCGATTGGCTATGGCAGATCGTGAGTGACTTTGGGCAGATCCAATAGATTTGAACTTTAATAGTGAACCCGCCTACAAGGAAGGAAACGTTTTTCAATGGAGCGGTTCCAGACTCTATGTGGAAATGAAATGAACTAGAGTCTGGTTGAACCAGGCTAACTTATGCTAACCATTGTGATAAATGATGTTTTATTAAAAAAGTTCGGGAGGAGCAAATTCAGTTAATTAACACGAGTGGAGTGCACCCAGCAATCAATGATAAGAGGTATATATAGATTCAGCAATCTCACCTCACTCCATTGATAGTTTAGCAGCATCCCTCCACCGCCCCTTCTCCACACTTCTATTAATAATAATTTGTTACATTTATATAGTGCTTTTTCTGGGACCTCAAAGCGCTACACATATGGAAGGGGGGAATCTCCTCAACCACCACTAATGTGCAGCATCCACCTGGATGATGCAAAGACAGGCATATTGCGCCAGAACTCCCACCACACACCAGCTTATTGGTGGATAGGAGACAGAGTGATGAAGCCAATTGGTATATATAGGATTATTAGGAGGCCATGATGGACAGAGGCCTTAGGGCAAATTTGGCCAGGATGCTGGGGTTACATCCATACTCTTTCGAAAGACATCTTGGGATTTTAAATGACCACAGAGAGTCAAGACCTCTCTTTAACGTCTCATCCGAAGGACGGTCCTCTTTGACAGTATAGTGTCCCCGTCACTACACTGGGGCATTAGGACCCACACAGACAACAGGGTGAGCACCCCCTACTGGCCTCTCTAACACCTCTTCCAGCAGCAACCTGGTTTTCTCAGGAGGTCTCCCATCCAGGTACTAACCAGGCTCAGCCCTGCTTAGCTTCAGTGGGCAACCAATCTTGGGCTACCGGGTGATATGGCTGCTGGTCCTAAACACTTACATAGCGGGGAACATACTCTGGCCAAACTCCAAGCTTGGAGCCCTCCCCCCAGACAGCACGCCAAATACGCATTAAACCTTATCCACTCCAATTGAATGCAAGTGTGAACTCGTGAAATACATGTTAATGGAATAGACCAAAAACTGCTTGAAGAACTAGACGAATCTACAGTATTCATTCGGTTCACGTGACGTCACTGTAGCTTTGCGCCACCATCTTTGAGACTGACGGCAGGGTTGTAGACTCGAGTCGCATGACTCAGACTTGACTTTGACTCGAGTCCCAAATTTGATGACTTGCGACTCGACTTGACATATTCAAAGATGATTTGCGACTCGACTTAGACTTTGACAACAATGACTCGCGACTTGACTCGGACTTGAGCCCTGTGACTTGGAAAGACTTGACCTACCTTCTAAAACCACAGATCAGAGTTGTCATAATCACGGACTGTAGTATAGCACTGTATCATTGACGCATGATCACAGCGCTGATTAGCACTGCTTTCGCACGTTCGGCACTGAGCCAGAGAGCGTGTCATAGAGTGCGTTCAGCAGCGTGTGTCAGTTGCCATTCATTATCTCACGTTCAGACAGTTTTTTTACCAAATAATATTTTCCTTTTTCTTTTTCAGGCATTTAAATACACAAGTACTCGCGAACTATTAATGATTTGAGAAAACAAAACAAAACAAAACACTGATGTCTAAGTAAGCGGAAATAATAAACCTTTCAAATGTAATTTTGAGACATGTTATTTTTCCCCCACAACAAACGCACATTTTAGCCTATAGGTAACTATAAAGTCTTCTCCCTGTTCACCAGCCACTCACTTTCATGTCTTTCGGGAGAAATGGATGGATTTGCGTTACGTTTTGTAAATGACAGGCACGTAGCCCCAAAAAGTGTCACGTGACGCTTGACACGTCGCCATGGAAATATAGGAATGTTCTTGTACAATTACTGTTGTGTTAATATCACAGGTCGAGGGGAGGAACGCTCGGGCAACCAACCACCCCCCCTCTAACCGAGTCACCACCGCGAGGAGCCGACACCACAGGCACACAACAGAGGACCACAGAGACAAGTTTCAAAGGAGTAACAATCTTTATTAAACCAAGGGTTTCTCACAGTTTAAGATACTCTCGTTGATGCATGATAATGGAGCAGGGGGTTGCAGCTTACTTCTCCCCAGCGGTGCTGCAGACTTCCAGACTCACGAGTAAGTATGACAGGTAAGGATTCTTCACAGTACACGGTACTCTCGTTGGTGCACGATAATAAAGCAGTGGATTAAAAGCTTACTTTTCCCCCCAGCGGTGCTGCAGACTTCCAGACTCATACAGCAAGTATGGCAGGTAAGGATTCTTCACAGTACAGGGTACTCTCGTTGGTGCACGGTAATGAAGCAGTGAATTAAAAGCTTACTTTTCCCCCAGCGGTGCTGCAGACTTCCAGACTCAGACAGTAAGTATGACAGGTGAGGATATTCACAGTACACAGTACTCTCTCTTCAGTTCACAATAGGGAGACAGTGAGTCATAAGGTTACTTTACCAGTGGTGCTGTATGCTTCTGGGCTCAAACAGCAAGTAGAACAGGTGGGGATCTTCACAGTACACAGTACTCTCTCTTCAGTTCACTATATCACTCAGGGCTTCTGACGGGGGCAGATATAATATCCTTCCACGAACGTGTAAGCATGGATAGGGCTACTTCTCAGCAAAGACACATCACACTCGTGTTCACTTCAATTCCACAGCCAAAAATCAATGTGTATTAATAAGGCAAAAGCACTGCAATTCACTCACACGGTAGGGCTGATCAGAGGCCTCGCTCTGTTTGTTGTGCTCACTTTACATGGGGTTTCACTTTCAATTCCTCCTCCACACACTCTGAAACACATAGCTCCTCCAACAGTCAGATCCACACTCACTGTATCCTCTTCAAGCGGTTTAAATGTTCATAAGATAAAATCAGTTCACTTATCTTTGCTCTCTCCTTTCCCAGCACAGATCCAGTCGATAGCTCAGACCAGCAGGCTTCCTACAAACGATCACTCTGATCCAGCAAGCTTAAATGGGCGTCTCTCCCTTTCCCCTGTCCCTTCCCTGTCAGTGGGTCCTCCATCTGAGCCTCCTCCATCTGAGCCTTCCCCGTCTGTGTCTCCCCCCGTCTGAGCCCTCCTCTCCCTTCTGTCTGTCTCCTTTTATCTTGTTTATCTTGACTCGTCAAACAGGAAACCTGTGTGAGTGCCGCTCCTCTCTCTCTCGCACCTGCAGTGCATTAGCGCTAATCAGTGCGGGCATGATTCCATCACGCCCGGAACCGCAGTGGTGTGTTGCACACAATCCGTTCCCCTAGGGAACTTGCGACTCTGAGGAGAGTTCCGATCGCCAAGCGATTTTGTCACCCGTGACATCCCCCCTTGCCAATCGGTTCTAGTCCCTAGAACCGACGTTCCTCAATTCCATTTGCCATATCTCTCCAGTGGCTGTCCTCGGGTATCCCACTGAGGTCGTCGGGGTGGCGAGGGCGGAGCCGCTCTTACTTCACTTCGAGGTCCCTTGGGACCACAGCCCACCCTTAGACTTAAGGTTCTGTACATGAATTGTGTCAAAAACCAAGGGAGCACTGATGGGCAGTAACGCGTTAGAAGTAACGTCGGTGTGTGAATGAGTGTGTGAATGGGTGAATGTGAGGCTAATGTAAAGCGCTTTGGTGGCCATTAGGTCTATGAAGGCGCTATATAAATGCAGTCCATTTACCATTTACCATTTAACGCGTTACTGTAATCCAATTACTTTTTTCTAGTAACGAGTAAAGTAAGGGATTACAATTGAAAAAAACAGTAATTAGATTAACCGTGATTTTGTTTAGTCAGACTGTCTCGTGACATGAGTCGTGCGGGAATAAAAATGATGTATGAGCGCCGCGACATCAGTGAGAGACGACTAGAGCGCGGGAGAGAGCAGCAGAGCTGCCAAATCTCACACAAACTCACACGACACACCCCCGATTTCTCGCGCTGAAGTGTCAATCCCGTCTGTCAAATGCCTGAAAGATGAGTGTATCTATAAATCTAACCGTTGAGCCACATTTTTGATTGACTAGTTATACCGCAAATTAGTTAAAATCTCCCGGAATCTAGAGCGAGCGCGCATGCAAGACTGTGTTCCAAAGTCCAAACTTCGTATCGCAAGCACGACGAGGAGAGCAAGAGAGAGACTTGCGTATGCGTACTATGCTGAGAGCATCCTGATCTGGAAACAGGAACCCCGTTGAAGAATGTCAAAATTCTACCTCAAATCTGAGCAAGCATGTCACGAGACGGGTCTCACACGGTTAACTAAAGCAGCAAGCCGGTACAGGAATGTGAAACTTACTGAAAAAACCCTGAACCCCCGTCTGACATGACCGCTGCGGCTACATGCTGATAGGACATAACCACTGATTAACTCCGAAAGAAAAAAAACTTGAAGCCAAAATACGGCATGCAACAGCATTTTCTGTTTTGATCAATTAATTTTTACTCCTCTCTGCACTTTACTGTTAAAAGACGTAAGTGTTAATACTTTGTAATATAGTCAGGAGCGACTTTCATGATTTTATTGCTGTATTTTTACATCTATTCAAATGAAGGATTTTACAAAATATATTTATTTTATATGCTGGAATATGTAGAAATTTATATTAACAGAAGAAGGGCAGTCTTTATTTCATTAAAATGGTGGAATGTGCAGAAAATAGGTTTAAAAGTTCAACAATTTTCTTCTAGTCTGAGACTGTTGCATTTAATTTAATTATTGCTTGATGCAATGTGCATAAAGTTAAAATATTGAAACAAATAAAACAAGTTTAAAAAAAGAGAATGTTTAATTTGATTACATTTTAGATGATTGAATATGCAGAAAGAATAGAATTAGGCTGAAAGGTCTATGCTTTAGCGTATTCAGGTCGTGCATCATGTTTTTGTAAAGTAACTTAGTAAAGTAACTAGTAAAGTAACTAATTACTTTTGAAAATAAGTAATCAGTAAAGTAAATAGATTACTTTCTTGGAGAAGTAATCAGTAATCAGTAACTAATTACTATTTCCAAGTAACTTGACCAACACTGTCATGATTCTGCCTTCTTGTCCTTGAATTCCTCTTGTCATGAGGCAGGATCATGACAGAATCATGTTTTGTGTGCAAGCGCATGGCCTGTTTGGGCCATGTGCTTGTGTTGTCTCGTTAAGTTACCCCGCCCCCTTGTTATCCTCGTCTAGTGCTTTATTGTCTAGTCAGCTTCACCTGTCCTCGTCATTAGTGTTCCCTATTTTATCCCCTTGTGTTTGCTGTCCTGGGTCGGTTCATTGTTTGATGTTGCATGTTTCAAGCTGTGAGTAATTCATTGAGTAAGCTGTTATTTGAGAAGAGTCTGTTCATGTTGTAGTTTTGTTTCTGTCTTAGTTTCAAGTCTTAGTCTGGTGTGTTCTACCCTGCCTTGTTTTGCCCCCTCGTGGGTTTTATTTTCCTGTTTGTCACAAATAAACCCCTTTGCACATCATCTGCTGTCTGCTATTGGGTTCATCAGCCATCCTCATAACAAACACTGCAAGGGAGTGTCAACAAATGAAATGGAATAGTTTACAAAACCCAATCTTTTACACACTTTAGCGGGACCTCTCCACTTGGCTGCCAACTTGGCCATATAACCTTCCTCAGCTCTGGACACAGGATGAGTTTTCACCCAGACCAAATCTCCTTCTTTAAAATCTTGCACCTTCCTCTTCAGGTCATAGAATCGTTTCTGCTTTTGTTGGGCAATTTCTACATTCTCTCTTACAAGTCCTATCAACTCTTGCTGTCTTTCAAGCAGCTCATAGGCTTGACTAACAGACTTTGGAGGAGTTGGAATAGCCCTTTCTAGAGGTCCTTTTAGAGAACGTCCCAATGCAATCTGGGCTGGAGTAAAACCTGTACTCTCTTGCCAAGCAGAATTAATGGCAAATCGAAATTCAGGAAGCCATCGATCCCATTGCAGATGATGATCTCCTACATAGGAAGCCATCATGGTTTTCAAAGTGCGATTTATCCTTTCTGTAAGATTGGTCTGTGGGTGATACGCAGTCGTGAGTTTTCGAACCACTCCCCATTGCTTACAGACTAGGGTTATGAGGAGTGAAATGAATTGCACTCCTCGATCCGACACCAGGTAGACAGGAGTACCCCATCGGATGAAGATCTCCTCAACTAGGATCTTGGCTATTTGCGGAGCTTTAGCTGTCCGTAATGGGAACAGCTCCACCCATTTAGAACAATAATCCACCACCACCAAGAGGTATTCGTGTTGCTTTGCACTCTTTGGGAAAGGTCCCATTAGATCCACTCCCAGCATGTAATCAGGTTCGACCACCGGTGTTGACTGAAGCAGTCCAGACAATTTGGAAATGGATGGCT